ATTCTGAACTGTTACTGTTAAAAGTGACAGAAAGTCCCTATATGCAGACTCAATGTGAGAATACTCCGGTCTCTGGAAAGAAATGCATACAAGAAAGAAACAAGACAGGAACTTCCCTTGTCATGTTTAGTATCAACTCATAACAAATTTTTTAAATACCTTAAGAATAAATTTAGGAAAAAAAGCATTCTTGGATTTTGTTTGCCAGTATGTCTGCATAAATATGACATAGTTGTCTATCTTTTCAACTCATAACTTTTAAAACTCTCCTGCGGTGTGCTTATCATGCTAGCTTTAACTTCACGTCAGTCTTCCTCAGCCAAACCTCGTCCCATCCTGCAGGCGGCAGGTTTCAGTTGTTTTGATTATATGGCGCCTCCTGCTGTCGGTTAGTCAGAATGACAATTCTCCACGTATCACGTGACTTTTGGCAGAAACTTACAGCGGAGTGTGAAGAATTGTCTTGTACACGAGGAGAGGCTGTTTTGTATGCAGGCAGAGATCGTTTTGTACTTGGGGACAATTTACAAATTAGATTTTCAGTGATATGTTAGCATCCGGTTTGTAAAACTAATTTTTGTGTGTGTGCAACCTTTAAGGACAGTTTGAAAAAAAAAGTTTTATTTGTTTGTGACATTAGAGGATAGTTTGTAACCAGACATCCCAAGTTCCGAAAACTCATTTCAGGGAGATGCTTATTGAACCAACCAACCCCCCACACCTGCAATAGACAACCGACCACAAGGTGCGGGCCGCACCCATCAGCATGGGCAGACCCTTTTCACATGGGCACATGTCCTGTTGCAGATATGCGGTGCCTGGATATGCCAGGGGCACTGAGTTTTTAATAAATTAATTTTCCATTCTCACCAACCCAGTCTCATGGGAAAATGTACCCCCACTACGTTGGTCCACACTGCAAAACGTAGTGGAGGTACATTAATGGCCATTTTTTTGTGGTACTTTTACATTTCTTCTGCCTATACGCTTTCTATTGTTTTACGTCCTAGTCACGTGACTTTCAAGATTCCACCTGG